GAAGAAGCAAATCTTCGTATCTAGTTTCAAAAAAATGGAATAAAAAAAACAAAAGAGGATTGTAAAAGCAGTGATGGTTAGCGTGTGGGTATCTCTCTAGATCACTATCTAATTTTTTGGTAGAAACTTGTGTAGAATATCTAAATTTGTAGAAACTCATGCATCTTATCTACTTCTAATTCTTTTACTAAATTCAGTACAGAGAAAATACCAGTGAATTTTTTTCTAACAAATTTTATTTTTTCGGACTTTAACTGAAATACAATTTTCAACTCATTCGAACCTAGAAGAGGAATCCAAATCGGGTCCATGAATTCAAAAACACCATGCAAACATGAGTTTTTTTCAAAGTCATAATTTATTTCATCTACAAAATAGTTATTTTTCATTAATAATATACAAGACAACCCTTTTATTTTCTTCTAAATTGCGATTCTCCGAAATTCAGGACCGATTCTAGAAAATGGCATGAGTGGTCGTATGGCACCAGACGAAATACGCATATTAAAAAAAAAGAGTATTTCTGATCATATTCTTGTAACAAAAGAAATTCTATTCTGAAAATATAATACAAATTTTATATCCCAAAAATGAAAACGTATTACCATAACATATAACTATTCGTTTTCTATTTTCAAGGCTTAATTTAACAAGGTAAGAAAAGTGGGATTGTAACTAGAATTACCATCATGTAGATGACTAGATAGGGGTGAACCAAAGGAATACGTAAAGTAAATTAATGCAAAAGCCATTATTGTTTACTTCACGCTGCGAAAGTTGTTAAAATAATCTATGGCTAATAATTATTTTCTTCGAGCATTTGGATAAAAGCAAAGAGCATAAACCCTTTTTGATTATGACAAAGAATCTGAATTTCATTTTCCGGTTACTAGTCAACTCTTGTCATGCATATCATAGCACAGTAAACCATCTCTGTCATCTTTATAAACATAAATTTCCTAATCATTTAACTTAAATATATATGAGTGGTAATTGGATAGCTAGTGCTTGTAGACTTTGTGCTCGCGCATCGAACTATTTACCACCTATCATTCTCATTCACGGACAGTGAATGTTTATTGAATAAATTGAGGGTTTGTGTTGCGGAAAAATAAATAAAAAAACCCAAAAAGGTGGTGGCCTAGTGGTAACATAGGGGTTGGTTTTCTTGTGCCCGAGTTCAAACCTCCTTTGGGACGGAGAGTTATTTTTAAAATTGGAATATCCAAATACTGTCTCCGAGTCTGAGGATATTATGAACCAAATGTTTGGGAATTCCGACCGTTTATAAAAAAAAAAAAAGTATATTGTGGCTATTATCGTTCACAACGAGTATATCCAAATTAACTCTTCATTCCGTAAATGAAATATTCATACGAAACGCCAAACTTTATTATTCCACTTTTAGCAAATTTTAAAGGTTATCACTTCATTTTTCTTTTTGCAAATTCCTGCACATGATTCATTGTTCATGACCCCTTTTTACGTGCATAAATATATATCGTGCATCTATATATAATATATGTGTACATGCAAGCAAAACACAACAACATAAAAAAAAATGATATCCGAGAAGTTCCCTGATGTATTCACTTGGATACAAAACATTCCACAGATCACAAGATGGCACACAGCTTCTTTTTCCTTTTGCATTTGTTCCTCAGCTTCTGATTTCCCAAATTCAACCCTAAATCTCATAGCACAAAGAAACCCTAGCCCTAAATTCATCACTTTCTCCATCATCGTCCAATCCAATAACCATCCTCCTTTGAATCTTTGGACATCTAAACAACAACTCAAAATCAACCCAAACTCACCAAACCCTTTTGATGAACAAACAATCATCTCTCTCCTCTTCAATTTCGTTGAATCTATCTTAACCTATACGCCTAATAGTTCCAATTATTCAACCATCCAAATCCCGAAACCCGATCCCTCGATGATGATCGACGGTCTTAAAGACATATTCAACACCGTGATTCTCACTCTCTCGTTCGTCGTTTGCGTCTACGAAGCTCCTTTGTATCTCCGTGAAGACTGCCTCAATAACCTCAAGAACCATTTGGTTACTTCTCGTGCAAGGCAAGCGACGGTGTCTCTGATGAGGATTCTAGGGTCTAATTTGGAAGAACAATGGATGAGATCGGTGAATCTAGCGATCACAAATTGGATCATTGAGCGTGTTCGTTCTCAATCCACCAAGACAGCAACAACTCCTTTGTTCTCCTACGCTGTTTCGGCTTATGGATTATGGAAAGTGCAATTGTACTGTCCGATTGAAGCCATGGAAGTGGAGAGATCAAGCAACCCATTGGCTGATTCGAGATTGTTGTTCTCTCTCAAGTTTAATCAGCTCGAAGGTGTGATGCAATTCAATCACGGAGTTGTAGTCAGAGATAAGTGGATCGATGTGATCGTGAACATAGACAACATCAGGTACTTACACATACATGTTGTAAAAAATTAAAAAATACACACAAAATTTTGGTTTTAATTGAAATAGTTGTTTTTATATCAAATTTATATTAAATCAATGAAGGTATTTTAGGCAATTACACGATCGATAATCATATAAGTAATGGGTTAATTGTTAATATTGTATAAATTACAGATGCGATGTAATAAAGCTTGTAAACGAGAGACTAATGTCGAGAAGAGGAGCAGGGGAACATGAGAAGCACTTCCCATCAAGAATCTCTTTGCAACTAACTCCAACTCTCCAAACCGATTTCATAAGCGTCTCGGTAAGCAAATCATCAAACAACCCCGGACGAGAGTTCGAGGTAGAGAAATCTATCGAAGGCTCTTTCGACCCACCAAACTCGCTAGGCTTAAGAGTCGCGGGACGAGAAGCCTCGACCATGACAATGACCCCGTGGAAATTCGAGCAGTCCGTGCTCGGCTACACAGCCAATCTAAATTGGATCCTGTACGATAGCAGCGTTGGAGGAAGAGAGGTTTTCTCAACAAAGCCGTCGAGGTGTTCAATAATGAGCCCGAGGTCTTGGTTTAAGGATCGGTACGCAAGGGCGTATCGGTCATTTACGAGGAGGGGAGGAGTGATATTTGCAGGGGATGAGTATGGAGAGAGTGTGGTGTGGAAGATTGGGAAAGGAGCAATGGGGAGAAGAATGGAGTGGGAGATTAAAGGGTTTATTTGGTTAACTTATTGGCCTAATAGGTATAAGACTTTTTACCATGAGACTCGAAGATTGGAGTTTACACAACTTCTTCACCTCACCATTGCTTAAACCAAAAACAAGTCCATGAGTTAGTTCTTTGTCATATCATCTTTGTATTTGTGAAAATAGAGATTTTTTTTTTCTTTTTTAAGACCAAAGAATCTTAAAACAGAAACTCAAAAAGAACGTTAAGGAGCGAGGAAATTGATTACGATCCTTTCAAAATTGGATTCAAAACTCAGGGCAATCGACCAATGAACCAAACCCTTCTTAGTTTTGACAACAAGTTAGAGACAACGATGCTAGCTATGTATAGTACTATAGTAGGGAAGATTCAGCAGATTGCTGCGACGGG